CTACAAAACACCCAGGTGGAGATGTCCTGAAGACAGCTGGATATGTGATATTGAGGAACAAAAGAGAGGCTGGAGATAATGATCAGAAATCATCAGCATATAGATGCTGATTGAAGCCATAGGAGTGAATAAGATTTCCCAGGGAGAGGACCTCAAACAAAACAGGAATATCTGGAGGTGGTATAGTAGAATAATGGCCAGCATGCACAGAGATAGGTAAGAAAAATGACCAAGTACAGTGCTGAGAACAGCAAAGAAAGATGAGTGCCTCAGAGTGGCAAATGCTTCTGAGAAGTCAAGGGAGGTAATGATTGAAAAGCGTCCATTAAATCTAGCAATCAGACAATCTTAGCAAGAGCTGGTTTCTGGAGTGGTGAAAGCAATAGCAAGATGGAAGGGAGCCGGGGAGCTGGTGAGAGCAGAGGGAAAGGAGATATTTAATATTCAAAACTCTTCCAAGGATTTTGGCTGTGAAGAAGAGTAAAGGGATAGGAAAGCAACATCCAAGGACCACAGGTTTTTGTGAATTGTTGTATTTTAATGGGAGAGATTTTAGCATTTATTGAATGCTGATAGGAAGGAGTCACTAAAGAAGAAAAGAATGGAGATGTGAGGTGGGAGCAGGGTGGATTGTGGGTATTCAATAAAGAGAGAGCCTTGACAAAGCTGAAAGGGACGATCCAGAGCAGCACAGGAGCAGGCAGTCTTGTTGCATGGTAACAAAGAAGGTCTCAAGTCGCTGCCATGAAGAACAGGAGAAGGAATTAGAGTGCCTCTTACCTATTCCATTTGGGAACCAACTGGCTACACTACATATAGTTCATCAAAGATACCCTTTACGGCCAGGCGCGGCGGCTCACGCCTGTAATCCCAGCACTTTGGGAGGCCGAGGCGGGTGGATCACGAGGTCAAGAGATTGATACCATCCTGGCCAACATGGTGAAACTGCGTGTCTACTAAATACAAAAAAAAATTAGCCGGGCATGGTGGCACATGCCTGTAATCCCAGCTACTTGGGAGGCTGAGACAGGAGAATCGTTTGAACCCAGGAGGCGGAGGTTGTGGTGAGCTGAGAATGTGCAATTGCACTCTAGCCTGGGTAACAAGAGCGAAACTCTGTCTCCAAAAAAAAAAGATGCCCTTTACAACCACACAGTGTTCAAAAGGCTACTGTGTATAGATGTAATCTGAAAAATTACTGTTGTGAAATAACTACCCTAAAATTGAAGTAGTATATAAATATAAAATAGGCTAAATTTACATTTTTGTAAATTAACATTTCTTAACATTTTTAATGTTCTTTTAAGTAATAATCTACATGGAACACTGGCATAAGCCACCTTTGCTAAAGGCAGATTAGCCAAACGCCATCACTAATACTCCCCATAGGACCATGAGTACTGAAGTGTGCCTGGTGGGGATCATGAAGAAGTCTGTCCTGGCTCCACCAGCCAGACCGTGACAGCACGGGCCAGACTAGCTGCGGCTGACATTGATCACTACCCGTCCTCTTTTTCCTTGCTAACAAACCCTGATCACTTCCAAAGTAAATAAATAGTTGTTCAGGCCTAAGAGGCAAGACTTAAGTAGTTCAAGCCGATTGTGTTTATGAATGGGCATGAGCCCAATTCTTGCTGATAAAACTAAAAGAAAAAGTCTGCCAGAAAAGCTTTTCCTTACTCTTGAGAAAAGCGGCGTAAGGAATAGAATACCATTTTCAGTCTCTGAATGTGCTTAATTACCTGGAACTATGCAGTCATCAAGAGATCATGAGGTGAGCCAGCTGAGGAGGACAGGGGACGTGCTCAGGATAACAGAACAAAGACAGAAGGAACTAGCTCCTCCAGGGCTGCCACCCAAACTGTTCTATTAAGCAACTCTGGAACTGCCTTACCTTGACATTCTTGTTATGTGAAATAATATATTTCCAATTTTAAAGCCACTTCTAATTACAGTTGGTTAGTATGGCAGAATGAGACCAAAATGGTTGAAGTACAGCAAAGAGGAACTGGAAAAAGACTGAAAACAAGAGAGAGCAAGTATTTGCTCTTCTGTGAATAAGAACAGTTTTGTTAGCTAATCCGTTAAATAAAAAATAAGGGGAAAAGGATTCTGATGGGAAGAAAGATTAGAAAAAAGGCAAACAAAGAGTGTGAGATAAGTTCCACTAATGTCTCTTTTGCCCACTTCATCTTTCATGGAAACGGACTATATTGTCTTTATCTCTCTAATTCCCTGTGTGTCACTGATCATTAACTTTTACTTCTCAGTCTGTGACTCATTCTGTATCAGATGTCACAATTCTACTAATAGCTCCTGGGAGAGAAAAATACAAATCCTAATCACTCATTGAGGATATCCACTCATTCTACAGTCAGGCACTGGCAGCTCATTAGGTGGGCTAGATACCTTTCCCCACCTCACACTGGAGGCTCTAGGGATACCTCTAGGGAAGAAATGTCTGTTTTACCAACTCCAGCAGCTCATCCACATCTAGGGATTTAAAAATCACCTTCTAAATCTATAGCACATTCAATCCTAACCTTCACTACCCTGCAATCCTGTTCACATGCCTCCAGAAGAGCCATATTTTAATGCCCCTCTACCTGCCCACCCTACCCTGCCCCTCCACCTATACCTCCTACCTGCCTATAACCACAAATTAATAGTGCCTCAAATGGGACTAACCTTCGCCTAAATCAGCTCTCCTTACCACTTACTCCATTTTTGTCTATGATCTAGACAACTTGGGGTCATCCTGAAGCCTCCCTTTCCTTCATTCCCCAATAACTCATTGTTTCTTTCAAAGTGTCTCTCAGCTTTACCCACACATTTCACTCCCATTGTCTCCATCATAATCCAGATGCTCACATATCCCAATCAATTCAACCATACCTCAGCTCATGGTCTCTGGCTCCACTCTCTCCCACTTGCCACTCCCTTTGCCATGGTGCCACCTCCGCCCTCAGGAGTCTGTCCACAGTGGCTCTCACACCAAGCCCCACTCTTCTGGAGGGGTTTCAAGGCCCTCCCCAATCTGGCTCCATCATATCCTTCTACCTTCTTCTAATCAATCTGACAAGTTGGACACTGTCACATGCTCATACTGTGTTCTCCCACCCAGCTCTGGGATTTCATCATGCTGACCTTGTCACTTAAGGTGCTCAGCATCCCTTGACTGTGCTTTCCTAAATCCCATTTATCCCTCTAGGCCAGCTCAAATTTCAACTCCTCCCAGAAGATTCTGTAACCAGTCCAGCCCTTTCTTCTTCGAACTGATTGCCTTTAGCATACTCTTTAGCATCTGGTTTGTCTAATGAAGGTCATTCTCTCCCTGACCAGGCCATGCTGCTTGTCGGAGAAACCATGTCCTACACTTCTTGCAGGCCCTCACAGTACTAGTGGACTCCTGAATACCAGTAGGGATGAAACAACTATTTACTAACTGAATAATCAACATTCAAGGGATACCTTGTCTCTTTTCTTATAGTTTTAGTCATTGAGAAGCCTAAGGAGAAGGCAGGCGTCAGCAATGTCCTACGGCCCTTGGAAAGTCTGACATGCACCCCAAAAGATATCTGACATAGCTGGAAGGATCTCATTTCTGTAATGGAGATAACTATTTTCCAAAGACACATCACTGAACTGTTCTGAACAACAAGGAATCACTATTGGGGCCCAAGACAAGCATGGGGCAGGGCAGTCAGGAACTACATTTACCACTGTGGCTTCCTCCAGTGGAGTCACTTGGTGCCAAGGGAGGTGGATGCGGCTTGTCCATCAGCATGCCAGATGAGGGGGCTCCTCCCAAAGGGACAGAGGGGATGGAGTAAGGGCCAGGGACACCGGAGACAGAGGGAGGGTACCCGGCCTTTGCTGCTTTCCCTGCTTCATACACTGTGGAGGGAGATCAAGAGCAAGAGAGATTACATTGTCCCACCCTCCACAACCCTCACACCAAAAATCCCTGAGGATGCACTTCAGGGAGCTCCTGTGTGTGTGTATGTGCATGTGTGTTTGTTCTCCAGAACTGAACTGATTCATCAGAGTCACCTTCCCCCACTCCCTTGGACTCCTCCAGCTCCACCAAACGGCAACGACATAAGGAATTACACTGTTTAGTACCTGGCAACTGAGTAATTAAGCCGCTCTCAGAGCTGTCATGGCAGCATCCCCAGTGACGGCAGCAGCCCACTCTCATCCACACTGGAAGTTGCCTGAGCCCCTCTGGATGCAGCCTAGCACGGGGACCACCCAGGGCTGCTTCAAGGAGGAGCCTGGACCTTCCCTTAGGAAGGAAAGCAAGTAATGGGCTTGTACATGTTCCCTGCTCTGTGATTTCAAAAGCAGAGCAAATACCTGATTTGTCCTAGAAACTGCTTTATTCCTGAAGATACTAAAGACCTGGTGTACCTCGCTCTTTCAAGATGTGTTTGGTTTATGGCAGGGGTACCAAACTTAATGTCTATATGGGCTTGGCCAGTAAGGTAAAAATGGTGAATCCCCAAATAAGAGCTAGGCCCTATTGTGGCCCATGCATCATGGGAGTAAATAAAACAAATCTGTGGCTGGGTGGGTGCCCAAAGGCCACAGTTTGCACACTCTTCTTATATAAAAAGGAGGTTCTCTGTGTGGGAAGGGAATTAACAGAGGAGGTTTCCTCTAGTTTGAATGCACCAGGGAGAGGAAACAGCCTTACCCCACAACCTCACCATGCCAAACCTGCCCTTCCATTTTATCAATAGTGTCCATGAGAATTCCAAATGCATGGAGTGACAGGTATGGATAAGAAGTGTGGAGAGGTGCATTAAGGTGAGAAGGCAAATGAGAATGATCATCCCTGAGGCCAGGGGCACCCAGCGGAGAAGAGAGTCTGGAATGACCAATTTTGGGGGTGGAAGGACAGGAAGTGGGGGAGGAACTCAGCGCACATAGCTGTCAGGTAGAGGGGTAGACATTTCTCTCAATTGCTCTGTCTCCCCACCGATCCCTTTACTCACAGGCTTGAGGGCAGCAGCAGGAATCTGGGCAGCACGGGCAGCGGACATAGCAGCAGCAGCTGTGAGGGCAGCACTGGCACCAGCAGATCCCCACCAGGACGAAGAAAAGGAAGATGCCCAGGAGCACCAGGCCAACAAACACCCACTCTAGAAGGATGTACAAAGAAATCCATACTCGAGGCAGCCCACCTCCAGGGCAGCGTGCACTCTGATTGGCATTTCCCTGTGAACAGGGGAGAGGAGGCTGGGGAAGAAAGCATCTCTTAACAGGAGACAGAGCCCCAACACTCAAGAGGAACTCTGGGAGTGACGAGTGCAGACACCCAGTCCTGGGGAATGGAGAAGAAGGAAGAAGGTTATCTATGTCATGTTGGGCACATGTAATGACCGGCACAAAACAATGTGGGGACTTCAGAGTCCTATACTGCAGAAAGGATTCACACTATTGACTGCAGCGTCAGAACAAGGATGGGACCAGAGCTGAAAGAATCCTGGCTAGGGGGAGGGAGAACCTTTTCTGCTGGGCTATCAACTGGTGGGTTCTGTGAATACTTATTTTTTGTAGTCAAGTTAATCCTGTCTTTAAAAGTCTAAGTCCTGAGGAAAAGGTCTGTATGTCTAGTAGCCTAGATGTAGTTCCAGGCCCCTTAGGTATTCACCTACTTTCCCTGCTGACTGCCCCGAGAACATCTTTCCTGTACTCAGCACCAGTGCTGAGACCCAAAGCTTTTGGGTCTACTGGGACAATAATCCATGTCTAGAGGAAGCTAGAGACATGGTCTCCATAGAGAAGACACTGTCCCCATGCACAGAGAATGAGTTTGGTTTGATCACACTCAAGCTGCCCATGCTAGGCAGGTAGCCTCACCAAGGGCTCAAGTGGCTCTGAGCTTGGATAAATGGCAAGGCTGACATGTATATCTGGATATGTTTGTTAACTCTGCCTCTTTTCACAGTTTTGCCAGAAGCTAAATATAAATTCCATTTCATTTGCCCATCAAAAAGATTAAGAGAAAGGAAACAAATTGCAATTGGCTTAGATAAAAATGACTGTGGCCTTCAGGTGATGTGTCTCAACATCATGCTTTAGGGACTTGGCTATAGGACCCAACTTCCCCCTGGAGGCCTGGATAGACTGGGGAGAGTCATGCTTTCCTTTAAACGCCAAAAAGACTAAAGCAATTCATTTTGGTTAGAAGCCATCTATCCCAAATCCCTTCACCATGAACCTCAAGCATACATCGTTTTTCTTAAATTTTGATTATTAAATATTCCTTCAATTTAATGGACATTCAGCTGGGAGCTTGAGAACATGACATTTTTATTATATAACAGGTTGTGTAATAATGGTTAACAAAATGACTTTGTATAGACCATAATTTCCTCAGATAGGAAACAAACAGCATGTTTCCTGAATATCCCTCCTCACTAATCTTTCTGGAATACATTCAAATCAAACAGGTCAACCTCTGTTTAGTGAGGGAATGGGAAGGCCTTGCCTGGCTAGAATGGCCTGGAGAGTATTCATGCCAAGGACAGTCCATAGTTGAAGGCTTTGGCCTAAGCCTTAGTAACAACACAGTAATGCAACATGGCCTGAGACAGAAATGAGCTCTTAGGTTTAGATGAGCTGTATGCAGTGGTGGCTACAACTTGGGTCAAGCAGTCAAGGATAAGACTGGAAATGTATATGTGAGAAACAAAAGAATATTATCTGTGAAAGGATTCTTGGAATCAAAGAGAGGGAAATTTAGTCATATAGGGCCAGATACGAACAACACAGTACGTCTTTCTTGAGACTGGGAGATGTAACATCTAGTTTGAAGTACTGTAATGTAACACTGTTTGTGTGATGAACAAATGCTTATGAATTGAGGGAATTCTGGATAAGGGGATTACAAAGAGGCATATATTTGTGTCCTTGGGAGCAACATCAGTAAGAAGAATGTCTGTGTTTGGGTTGGCCACCTAATGGAAATGGACTAGAATTCATAGAAGAATAATTAGTAAAGCTCAATGGTGAAGACTCTGGATGTTTTTAAAAACTTGAATTAAGCTAAAAACCAATACCCAGGGATATTTTATTTCTCTGTTGTGATTAGGTAGCTCTTAAAACTTTGGCAGAAACCCTCCAAGACAAGACTAAATCACCCCTTTTCCTACTGCTTGAGCTTAGCTATGTTCTCTCCCACAGTTCATTCTTGCTTCTCTCTGTGCCTCCCTCAGTTGTGGACCATAAAGCTGCACCAAACTGATGTTGGCTTATCTAGGCTAGTGCATTCAACTGAAGATATAAAAAAAGACAGAGATGTATGTTTGCCATAGATGTCCTTCACATATGGTCCGTGGACCCCTAGGGACTTGAAGGGACTAATAAGCCCCTGAAATTGTGTACAAAGTAATGTTGGTCTGCAAATGAGTATTTTTCAAGGAAGGAGGGGTACGTAGCTTTCCTAAGGTTTGAGAAAAAAGTGTGATCATGTTATAAAAGGCAATTCAGAGTAACACAGTTGTATAATAACGAATCGGCAAACATGTAACTTAGGAAATAAGGAAGGCAGGTAAATACTAATTCTGTTAAAAATACTATTTAAGTGTATGGGTACAGCTGAAATACTGAAATGGCATGGAGATTGCCAAAGAGCCTGCATGCCTGACACTGAAGGACTGGGTTACTATCTCAGCTTATTTTTTAATTATCATTATTCTCTTAAGGCCTAGTAACAGAAGGAATGCAATTTAAAAGCCCTTCCAATGGGTTTAGTTCATCTCGGAAAAGATCAGAGACATATAGATAAATGTGCAAATAAATTTAAAAAGCAATTAGTGACTAATGCAGAAGCAAGGCAGATGTAATAACAGCAAATCAAGCAAATAAAGAGTTAAATGACTGAATACCTGGCATAATCTCCACAGCAAAACTGGGCAAGAGATCAGCAAGCAGCCCTGTCCTGCCTAGAAGAAGTGGAAGGAAAAGAAGAAGGAAAGTGGTTATTAAAAAGGAAAACATAGCCTAAAGCCTGGCTCCAGCTGGTACCATCCATACGTGGGGCCATTAGAGCATGCTCTTTGTGGTATGAGAAGCGCATCACCGAAGCTAGGCTGAGACAAGAGAATGACGTTCTCTGTCAATCTTTGGCAGCCATCTAAGTGAACTCTGCACCTAAACTAAGCGGAAGCAGAAACAGAACTTTCTCTCCAACTATATATAGGAGGAGGAAATCTCTGCTTGAGCAGACTGACACACACTGTCTCCATTCATTTATACATCCGTCTCCATACACTTCATTGGAAAGTCAAGCCCGTCTGTATCCAAATGTTCAATCTACATTTTCATACATCCATACACAGCCCTATGTCCATATAAAAACAAAAGTACATATTTGGTTTTAACTCAGAATTATCTCACTACATGATTCTATTTGTGGCCTAAAGATATTTCAATGATTAGAATTTTCAAAGGCAAGGGAAAGATAAAACTAGATCAGTTACACATTCCTCTACACTCCTTCTGGCTTCAGAAATACACTGTACATATGTAGATGGTACGGCTTTTCCATATGGCACACACAGCTGGCATTATATGGACCCAAGTGCCTTCTGCATAATATGGCAGAGAAGCTTAAAAGCTGGAGTCAGAACAGGTGCCCTCATGGGCTCTGGGAAGCAGAGAGCTGTGCAGGAAACAAGAGGCTGGAAGACATGAGGGAGCAGATTAGTCCACTTTAAAACTAGCCTGATTTACAGAAAGACATAATGAATGCTTTCATCATGTTCTCATATCAAGGTGAAGTCCTGTTACAAACTTCTGCCCCTGTACCAGATACGTCTACCACACTGAAGCCTTGCTAAGAAACTAGTAGTAATGTAAACAATTAGCAAACATCCCTCCTTTCAGACTTGCGATGATGGCAAACAGTTGCTGTAGCACCTAAACATGCAACTAAATTCTACTTCATTTAGGTCCCTGACACATACCTCTAGAACAGCACTGTCCAATAGAAATATAAGGCAAGCAATGTGGATAACTTGAACTTTTCTAGGAAGTACAATAAAAAGCAAAAAAGAAACAAAGGAAATTAATGTGATCCTATTTTTTGGCTTGTGTGACTATCATCAAAATACTATCATTTCAAGGATTTAGTAGCCACGTGTTGCTACTGGACAGCACAGCTCTGGCAATCTGTTTCATGCCTATAGATTTGGCTCATTTAGAAAACAACTCTTTCATGTTAAAGTTTGTTGAGGTGCATTAGAGAAAAGGTGTGTAGTTCATATTTTGAATCTAAGGTCATGATTGGTCACTGGTCCAATCTCTTCTGTGGGTGACATCTCTATGAAGTCACCCACAGAAGAGAAGTTCTGACAAAGGTCAAAGAAAAGGGGCTCCCCTAGGATACTAGGGAAGTATGCTGGAGCTGGGGCAAGATTTAATGAGTGGGGTAGAAGGGGTCTTTGCTCTCTTTTTCTTGGCTCTCCTCAACTCCACAAGGCCAGTGTGGTAATGTGTATCCTAGTCTATGTGGGTGAAGTTCCCACATTTAAAAAGCTAACGAGGACCAGAGTACATTCCAAGGATGAGTGACTTGGGCCAACTCTGCTTTTGGCCTTAGCAAAAAGAGCTTCCTTCTTTCTGTCCTCCATCTCATGCAGCTGACATGGTAAGATGGCTCTGCTGTTGCAAGGTCTCTTGGAAGGACAAGTAGGAGTCAAGCGGAACATTGGAAAAGGTGTCTACTCAGGCTAGAATTGACCCAAGCCTTCATAAAAGACTAAGAGGTGTTCCTAAGGCTTACACAGTTCCCTAGGGTGTAGGAAATTAGTAAAAATTTGGGGCCAAAGTTTGAGAAAGTCATTAAGAGACAACATGCATTGGTCTTGTCTAAGTGTTCTCTGTAAAAATACCTCTGGGAAATGCAACAGAGTAATAAACAACTGGTCAAAGATTTGGGAATTTGGGCTCCTGGCGATCTCTTGAAGACCAGGCAATAATCAACGATCAAGAAGTCAATACATACTGTTTTTTAGCAATCCAGTCATCAGATATGTATTTGATGGTGGATTTTATTGTTTTTTTCAATCTGCATAATTAGCACTTATAAATACATCTCTTGTTGTAGATTGTAAAATCAGAATCTTTGCTAGTGTTTACTCTCTATTTCTCAAGCCTACCAATGTTTTAAGCATCTCTGGATATGCTATGGTCTAAATCGTCACTTAAATTCATGATAGAAAACTCACTGATGATTGATGATATAAGCTACCAATTTGTGGGCTCCCATAGCTAACTAACTGTGATAATTAACTATAAAAATCCATATATTCAAGAGGATGTGGTACTCACACATGGTATATTGGAAAAAGCAGTGGACTGGGAGTCAGAGTACTTAGGGCAACTTCATTACTTCACTTGGTGATTACTACAGGCAAATTACTTTCCCTTTCTAGGTCTCGGTTTTCTCATTAGTAAAATGAAGAGGTTGAGTGGAGAAATTTATAAATAGAAAGACCATCTATCTTTGTTTGTCTAGGACAATTGCGGTTTATGCCTATGGTCCAGGTGTAATTTTTAATAGCACCCTTTTTTACTCTCAAAGTGTTCTCGTTTGGACAATTAATTACACGGTCACACTATTTATATCACTTTTAGTTCCCAAATCTTATGCTCAGTGATTGGAGTTAAAAACTCAAATATCTATAGGGACCAGCAGGTAATGCATATGAGTGCAGCTGGCCAAATGTAATACAACAGGGAGCAGCTAGAGATGTCACTAGGGGGCTGCTACTAGTCACCTCCAGCCACCTGTGGCCCCATAGAAATGTGTCTTTAGGGTTTCAGATCATCCTATTATTCAAGATTTTCCAGGCCCCAGATTTTATGTGAAATATTTTGATTTTCAAATGTTGGCAACCAATTCAGTTTTTAAAACACTAGGTGAATCGAACACAATATGTCTACAGGCTGTAGAGAACCCAGAAATCGTGTGTTTGCAACCTCTGAAGGGTATACACACACAGATACATTTATGGGAGGGTAAAACATAAAGCTGGATTTCCCCATAGGCTGTTTAGGTTCCTTGATGCTGTTCTAACATTGGTTCCACACACAGAATGATAGTAATACAAGATCTAGTCACCTATGTTCAAATTAAAATTGGAAACAATGATATTACACATCAAACTGCTAGCCCTTCTTATTTCTAGGGAGCTAGAATGAGCATTATGGAAGAACAATGAAGGAACTTGCTTTTTTTTTTTTAACTTTAGACTTTTTTACTTTTATAATTGAAAAAATTAAAATTAAGAAAGGGTGTATCAGACACATGGACAGGTGATTCACAAAGCTTGTCACTCCAAGCTTTGTGGAAGTGACATATATCAAGCTTCTCATTCTCCCTGAAGCAACAGTCAGTGGCTGATGCATCCAAAGGTGAAGGCTTCCCATATGCACCTGTGTAGTGTTAGCCGCAGGGTAGCATAGGTGATGTGTGCAGTAAAGTGGGAGAAATTAAATATCTTCAGAATTCAGAACATAGTAGGAGTTTTGGGAGAGCAGACAATGCCAATATATCACCGTCAACAGCAGAGACGGTGCAAAGCTCTGTAGTTTTTATACCATTACTTATATTTTATTGACACTAAAGACATTTTAAAAAGTGGATTTATGCTGGGATCTAATATTTCTGAAAATAGTTCACTTCTAGCTTCCTCCCTAACAATTCCTAAGAAATGTTATTGCTAGTTAGAAATGCTTTATCTTTTCTTCTATCACATTCAATGAAGGCCTGATCTTAGAGCATCTAAACAATTGCAGTAAATACATTCTAGATTTCAGCGGCACTTTACCAACACTTGTGAATCACTGTCATTCTTCCAGGATTCAGTTTAAGAGTGGCAATTACAAGTCACTTTAATGTCTGAGGAAAGGATGGAAAGCAAGCCCTGCAAATAGAAGGCCACATTTGCTCTTTTCAAACCACAGCTCAAACTATCAGCGGAAAAGACAGTTTTTATGTAAGCACTCAAACAGTTTTCCCCAAACCTTGCAGAATCTATCACTTTTAAGAAATTTCCACATGAATAAACCAAACGAATCAGGCATACTAATACTTTGTACACAAATCACACACACAAATGCCAGTTCCATATCATACTGTCACAAACTCTACAGTTAAACACATTCACACGCATTGGGTTGAATGATTAGAGTAGAAACATGCATTGTGAATAAAATAACTTACCTAGCTTACCTATAAAATTCCCTATTTCAGTTGTTTTCTGCCACTGCCACTTTGAAGTTATCCTCAATTGAACTCTTTGTACACATTCCTGCAAACCAGCTCACTGTTGGAATGGCTCTCATTTATTCATTCATCATTCATTCATTCAGCAAAGAAATTTATATTTAGCTAGACACAAGGGACAAGTTGTGTTCCTCTGAGACACTTGAGAGGCTCACAGTCTGGCCCACGCAGAGCTTGGCTTTAGTTATCTGCTTCTGTGTCACAAGACCTACTAAATCTTCCCGCCAAATTAGTTATCATCCGTTCTCTCTGCATTTTTGACATCAGGTTCTGCCTGGTCATGGGGCCTTTCCCTAGAGATCTAGTCCTTGCCTGGTTTTCCACTTCTACTCAGAACATTATCTTCGCACATTTCACAACAAATCATGTCCTAGTGGCATTTCCCTAAGTTTTTGTTTTACATGTTTTTCTTCGTAGGTCAGCCCCCTCAGAGCAAATTTTACTTACCTTCTTTGCTCAGATAAACATTTGAACTACTTTGTTTAATTCTTTACCGCATAGAGTCCACAAGGCTGAGATAAGATATGTTCTGACAGAGCCCTGTAAGAATGCTGCACTAAGAAGGTGTTTCCTCCTCCATGCTCCCTAGGCCCACTGTATATGCCTTCACTAAAAAATAAATACACTCTAGTGCTTCACTAAAGCACTTAT